TTTTGTTTGTTCATGTATGTTCTGTGTTTGTTGTAAAAATAAAAAAATATTTTAAAAAAAATGCTTAAACTATATCCTTGTAGTTATTTGGACCTAGTTTTTAATGTGGTTGTAGAACTGTATCCATGATGTACCATATCAGGCTATAAGTGGTTCACAAGGTAAGAAGTTCCTCCATTCAAAAAATCATTTGAATAAAAAATTAGCATGTTTACATTCTATGCTGAGCTGTTTTCCAAGGTGATGTTTTCAGTTTATATGGAGAACTTCTCATTTTGTAGGACCTTATATGATAGGTAGGGAGGTCCAGGTAAGTTAACATGCTTAAGTAATCTTTGCATAAAACAAGCAAATGAAGGGAAAAGGCTGTACAGTCTTTTTTTATTTGATTCCAAAAATGTGCTACAGAGTCTGTAACAAAAGGTGCTTTGGAGGACACAAGATCAGAAACTACAGACATAGTTACATGTAGGTTACCTGTACGTAGGTAACATTTTAAGACAACCATTTCTTCTCCCAGCATCATGCAGCTGCTGCACAATACCATAAAAAGATGCAGCTGCTTTAAAGAGTTGCAGACAGGTGCTCTCCTTGTGCTCTTATGTGCTCCAAAGCGCCTTTTTGGAATTGCATTGAGAACTCTGCACAGCCAAGGAAAGAAGGATAAATGCTGGCTTCTCTCAAATGTTTAATTGGCCAACTGAATGGCCAACTTGTGTTTCAGATGTTACAATCCACAACAGTGAGTTGATGTCTGGCAGCATGGACAAGGGAACTTTGGGGTCAGGATCTAAGAATAATATATTCTACATTTTACTGAGAGACTGGGGTCAAGTTGAGGCAGCTGATGCTATGTCACGACTAGCCAGGCTTGCTCCTGTCTACCTCTGTAAGTATCTTGAGCCATGCTTTATTCTTTATGTATGTTACATTTTAATTTTCTTTTGTTATTTCTACTGCTTATTTTACCTTCACAGTGATGCAGTAAAAGAGGTTAGTTTGAGAGAGATTGATTGACCCAATACTCTCCACTGAGTTTTAAAGAACATAGGCACAAACTGTTATGGTATCCTAGTACTAATAAAGTAGCTGCTGTTGTGACTTTGCTCAGCAGCAAAATAAGGATCTTATGCTGAGAGTGAGGAAAGCATAATGCAGTGATCTTTTAGTGATGTTTTTGCTGTGCCCTATGGGAGAATCCATAGCTCTTCATATATCAATACATTCCAAATTGTTGGTATGTAGTTCAGAACCACATTCGCTCTTTAAACCATTTTACTCTTCCCAACATCGTATGCACAAACTTACAAATATTAAACCAAAATGTGGTGGTGGTAGGACAACCCCACTACCCTGTGTGTGAGTGTCTCCTCTATTGTACACTTCCAGCATAGAGTAGTTGAGAGCCAACCCTTTTGACACCTTCTTTTTGGTGTCCAGTGAACATGAACAAAAAATACTTCGTTAAATTACCCTCGTAGTAAGAGCATAAGAAACATAGGCAATATTCTTTAAGAGCTTGAACCATTTATTTGTCAGAATGGGGTAGTCCAACACCATACTGAAAAGTATTTGAAAGTCTTGGCAGCCAAAGCCAACAAAAAGATCATCTCATGTAAAATGTTCTCTCTTGCTCGAGTGTGCTGATGGATATACACTTGATCTTTCTTTGCAACTACATAGCTAATCGTGGGTTTTCCATTGGAATTGGTGATGTCACCCCTGGGCAAGGATTGCTGAAGGCAAAATATGAGCTTCTGAATGCTGGCTACAAGAAATGTGATGAATATATTGAAGCACTGAAGACTGGTAAGCTACAGCAGCAGCCTGGCTGCACAGCAGAGGAGACACTGGAGGTTAGTTATATCCCATTTGCAAATGAGTAACGTGCATGCCGAGTTCAGAAATTTGACCCAGCACTTCTGACCTCTTTACCTTTAACAGCATTACAAGTCTGCAGTGGGTACTGTTTAGCCATTTAAAATCCAAATTCCTGATTTATTATGAGCTGAAATTGAAGAATGAGACAGCTTCACTTGAGTTCTCTTGCCGAAGCTATGTCCTCTTCTGTTCTGAAGGGACCACTGCAGGACAAATTCTTGCAATTAGTAATCACAATGTCTTTTCAACTGGGGAAATTCAGAGCGATTAGTCTTGTGTCCATTATTGTGGGCCATTTTATTCTATTCCAAACCATATGTATTGGATTGCTTCCTTAGGAATAACGTCAGCTTCTGATTAGAATCGGTTATGATGAAATGGAAACAGGGAAATTCTTGTAAGGATTGCTTGTTAATTGAGTCTTCTCCTAGGCACTGATTCTGAAAGAGCTGTCTGTTATCCGAGACCATGCTGGCAGCGCCTGTCTTAGAGAATTGGACAAGAGCAACAGCCCCCTCACCATGGCTCTTTGTGGTTCAAAAGGTAGGACTGACCATTCAAATTGGTACCTATCTCTGTGACCAATAAATAGATCTTTGCAGCAGCGTTCTGCTAAGGTACAATTATTGTATATTCCCGGCAGTAGGAGTCAGTGGTGTCCAATATAGAGGCAAAGTTCTATATATTGTTCTCTATATAGTTCTCTGTATCTCAGTCTAGTCTAGGCTGGAAGTAGGACCTTGGATAGCTCTGAGGGTGTTTTATTGATTGAAATTCTTCCTAGTTATACAGTCGAAGTTGCAGCTCCATTCCAAAGTCATCTGAAGCCTTAGGCATAGCCACGGTCTGTAATGTGGACCATTTTGCTTTATCCCCACTGGAGGAGTTGTGTGGACCATTTTGCTGGAGAGATGGAAATTCAGCTGGGAGATACATCTAACAAGGTGGAAGGTGATCAGTGGGCCATATCCCATGGCTTGAATTGCCCTGACTACATAACTGAGTATCCTTCCCTTTTTATTAGGAGTCTGGACATCATATAGGTTTTCTACAGCAAAGTTTTATTATATTATATAGACTTCTACTGCCTCCCCCCCCCCACAAAAAAAGACGTTTTTGGGTCTAGAGCAGCATAATCAGCAATACATTTATATCAGAGCACATTATTATGAATGCTATTCCTGTGCCTTAGATATAGTACCATTGTTCAGAGAATAGACAACCCTACCTTAGTTTTACTTTAATTTGAGCTCTGTTCAGTTTGCTCTCCATCTAAGTCTAAGTCCACAGGATGTAATTCATGCTATTTATGCATATATGAAGTAGGCAGCTTGACTGCATACAAATTTGCAGACTGTTTTTTTCAGATCTGTTTGGTACATCCTTATCATGGATCACTTAAACCAGATATTCTCCATGTGCAATCTTACTAAGAATTGCTTTGAAGGATTTTTTCACTTTAGTTGAAAGGTAAAATCTGTTTTGGATCAATCTGGGGGCTTCATGGATACAGCCATGTGAGCTTTTTCAGCAGGGATACAGAAATGGTTAGCCATTGCCCTCTTCCTGGATGATTTTCAGTCCCCGGTTCACCCTAAAGCCCTGGGATACCTTGCTTTATTTTGTTTTTTCAAGCTCAGCGGGGGTTTTGCTTCACAATCAGGCAGACAATAAGTTCTAAAGAGCTTCATAACAAGAAGCATTTATTCATAATAAGTGCAACATTGTGGGGTAGTGGAACAAACTTTCTATAGTGACTTTTGAGAGGTTACTTATCCTAGGAAAGTAGAATAGGAAAAAAACACTGTGATAACATGTCGCTTTCAGTCATGAGAGAGAGATGCTGCTGACCTTTTTTGTTGTTGTTTATTTTTTTTTCTAATAGGATCTTTTATTAATATATCCCAGATGATTGCTTGTGTAGGGCAACAAGCTATCAGTGGGTCTCGAGTGCCTGATGGCTTTGAAAATCGATCCTTGCCTCATTTTGAGAAGCATTCCAAGGTAAGTTGCCGGTTATTGAGATAAGGCTTTGGCAATATTGTGAAACGAGGCAATGTGAGTGAGAATATAAAATAAAATGGAGGTTCCTTTTAATCCAGGGTGATCGTTATTGTTGTTGTTATGATCCTTGAAATCAGTCTTGATTCCTGGAGACTACAAGTCCCTGCAGTTTTCTTGGCAACATTTTCAGAAGTGGTTTGCCACTATCTTCTTTGAGGATTTTTTTTTTTTTTGATCTTCCCAGTCTAGGGCTGAGAAACAGTGCTGGCCCAAAGTCATTCAGCTGCCTTGCATGCCTAAGGGAATGTTAGAATTTGGATTACTTAATCCTAATCCAGCATCTTTAACCACTATACCAAACCCGCTATCATAGAATGACAGCTAAGAGTAATTCAAGTCTTTCCGGTCTTTCTGTGGATGAAAGTTTTCAGATTATTTTAGCATTGTTGACCTATGCTATGAAGTTGCTGTAAGGACTATAATACGTAACCATTCTGAACAGTCGGCACCTAGAGTTAAACGGATTCTGAACAGTCAAAAACATTATCAGACTGCTAATTCGTGCTGCTTGAATAAAGAACCAGAACACTTCATTTTAGACATAGGACAGAATGTGAATCTACTCTTTAAGTACAGGGCATTTCTGTTGGGCAACCTACCCAGTTCTCATCATATGGGAAATGGAGAGGACTGTGCCTTCTGGTTCTGCCAAGGAGGTGGAGTCCCTCAGAGCCCACCAGGAAGTAGAAGATGCTGCTGAAATGGAATAAAGCTGGAAGAACTTGGTATAAGGCTTTTTGCACTGGGAGATGGCCCCAAACTGGTTATGGTTCTGAAAAAGAATTAAAGTCACACTAAATTGCTATTGTTGCCCAGGAGAAATATTGGATAATCTTGAGTATTTTTCTAGGGAGTATATTATGGTGTGCAAAAATGGCCCTTAGTTTGCTGCTTCTTATCCTTACTGCTTCTACTAAGGTACGTCTTCTCCCATGTTGCTTTCTATAGATTGTTCACATGTTCATGTGACGCTTTTGAAAAATTCATAAGGCTGCACAAGGATATTGGATAGCTTACTGGTTCTGATAACAAGCATGTGCTCTTTTAATTATATTTTACCTTCTTCCAAGGAATATGTGATCAGATGGCTTCCGATTTGACCCTCATGGCAGTCATGTGGAGCAAATTAGATCAGTGTGCTTCATTGGCGATTTGAATCTATGGCTTTCCAGTACTATTCCAATATATTAACCACTCTGACTGTAGAAGTAAATTCTAGAGCAATATATTTCAGAAATATTTTTCTTTTCCAGCTTCCAGCCGCTAAAGGTTTTGTTGCCAACAGCTTCTATTCTGGGTTGACACCCACTGAATTTTTCTTCCACACGATGGCTGGTCGGGAAGGTCTTGTTGATACAGCTGTAAAAACAGCTGAAACAGGATATATGCAGGTAATTGGAGGCACTTTTCTATAGGAGGACCATCAGTGTAGCCAACTATAAGTATTTATTCTCCTTTAGGTCAAGAGTTATTTCCCTGCCAACTTCTAGTCTGTCTCCTTTTTGGTTTCAGTTCTGAGGATAAAGAAAGAAAAGAAGTATCAAAAGAATGAACCATTATGCCTGCAGATCTCTGCTATGATAAATAACAGAGAGATGCACATACACTCATAAACACACACACACACACACACACACACACACACACGTATAGATAGATAGACAGCAAGGAAGAGAATGAACTCTGTTTTAAAGTTTTAAAAAACATTTTGTCTAGTTCTTTCAGAACAGATTGATTGATTGATTGATTGATTGATTGATTGATTATTTTTTTGCTTAGTGGCCAAATGCATTAATCATTGTTTCATATGGAAAGAACTCCCACTTGGGAAAGAAATCCAAAATACTAATTGCTCTAGATCATTATTTTTTTCTATCTTCCAATCATTATACTTTAGAGTTGTTTCTGTTCCTCTTTCATCCTTCCTAGATATTGTCATTGGAAGGATTGAGGCAACATGACTGACCTATAAAGACACAGTAGTACCTCTTGTGTCTATTGTCCCCTCCCTCCAAGTTTTCAGCTAAGAAGCAGCCACCACAGCATGTTTAGGGATTATTGTGTCATTTGCAAGGAAAATGTACCTAGTTAAGCTTTGGGGGGTTTTTTATTTGATGGGGATGCTCAATTTTTCCTTGAAGCACCTATAAATGACTCAGTACGTGCTATATGTAGGGTATGGTGTGCTAATTAAACTTTTCTTGAGACTTTGATAAAAAAAATAACTAACTGTGAATGTAGCCAAGCTAATTAACAGCACCCTGGGTTGTTCTTTAATGACTTTGGTCCCTTAAGGGACCTGAATAGAAGGCTATCTTTATAGTTACATTTCAGGGTAGTAGAGTGAAAAGATTGTCATTTCTTGTTGTAAACCATAAATGCAAGCTGTATTTCCAGGTATATACTTACTTTTGCCATGCAGCTAGATAACTGAATAAGCCTTCTCCTGGATATCCAAAAGTAAGAAGTAGACCTCAATTGGTATGGTATTAGTGGGAATTGGTTACCTCCCCTGTCCTGAATAATATTTTGTGTCTGGGACTGTGTATCTCCCTTAAAGAGGGTATTTCTCCACTTTCTCCCAGAGACGATTGGTGAAATCCCTTGAAGATCTATGTTCACAGTATGACTTGACCGTCAGGAGTTCTACAGGGGACATTATACAGTTCATTTACGGTGGGGATGGTTTAGATCCTGCAGCCATGGAAGGGAAGGATGAACCTTTGGAGTTCAAGCGTGTTCTGGACAATGTCAGAGTAAGTATTAGTACAGGGTATCTTTTTAAAATAAGTAATCTTCAGGTTGCTCTAGCAAGTTTGAAGGCCTTGGACTTTAATTGCTGGTCGTAGTTTCCAATTTCTGCAGATGAAATGTCCTGCAGGATTCTTAATCTTGAAAGATTATATCTGGGATTATTTGGTGAAACTACTTTGAAAGACACATCTACAGCTGCAGTAGAGAACTTTGAAGGACCTGGATAAGAATTTTTGTTTCATATGGCTATATTTGTACAAGAAACCTGAGCAACCTTCATTGGGAATGCATGTTGAATTTTCTGATGAACCCAAGCATAAAACGGTGCTGTAATTGATCTATATACTGTTTGTTGCTTTAGGCCGTGTATCCAAGCCGAAGCGAGCCTGCTCTTAGTAAAAATGAATTGGTGCTAACAGCTGAATCCATCATGAAGAAAAATGAATTCCTTTGTTGCCAGGACAGCTTCCTGCAGGTATTGTTTTATTTAGATTCCTTTTCCACACAAAGATTATTCTTTATAAAAGGAGCTGCCATCTTTAGAACTCAAAACAAATTTCCTGTATTCTGTCTGATTAGTCCCATCTTGATCATTTAATAGATAGACTTGGGGTTAATGTATTTGGGATCTTCCTCTCCCCAAGCCCTAGCTTCTCAGAGATTGCTTATATTGTCAAGCTTGGAACTGATAAGATTCCTAAATCTTCACTTTTAAGGCCACATATTATTTTAAGACAAGTTAGCACTTGATTGTTTTGGTGTTCTTTGTCAGATATGGTGTTGATATCCAATACCAGAGGTTTGCTTCAAAAAATAAGCTAAGGTGTAAAAACATGTTTGTTTTTGTAAAAGTTGGGGGTGTTACTTCAAGAACAGCAAAATACTGCTTTGTTTTTCCTGTTCATTCTTGAAGGTATTAACTGAAAGTGGCTATGTGACCTATAATAAGGTAATTGTAGCATGTGTGTCTGTGTGTGTATGTGGCTGGGTGTGTGCACAGATTATGCAGAGGCTCATAATGCATTAGTCAGTTGACTATTGGAGCAGCATATAAACCTAGTAAATCAGTATCATACTGGAACCTACCCAGTTGAGTTGTACTGTCGCTTTGTTTGCATAGTGGAGATTTAAGTGCATCCTCTCTACCACACAGATGATATTTTGTATAAACTGGGTTCCCCCAACAATATGTTGTTCTTTCCCAGTGTACCATGGGCAGTCTCAAAATCTTCAGTATTTTCTGTTCTTGGGTCCAGCTTTAGACTTTTGTGGAAGGAAGACTAAGACCAGACTCTACACCGGCAATTTCTACTCTTGTTTTTATATTTTCTTTTAATTAGTTCTCTTCTTTCCTTTTGGGACATTATTTCCTTAGTCAGAGATTATCTTTGATGGTTTCATTTATACAAGAATAAAAAAGGGTGGCAATAATAGCAGCTGGTTTTTCTGCTATTTCTGCTATCCATGTTTGCCTGGTACATTGATTCTTTCAGGCAACTACCTAGGTTTCTTTTTTTCTTCCTCTTCCGGCTTGGCCTTGAGGAGAGTTGAGATGCAAAGATACCAGAATGCAACACTGAGATTGCAGTTGCCCTCTGAATATAAGTGCTAAAAGCATTATTGTATTCATCCACCACTGTGTGCAGCTGGAAGTGCACTCCAAAGTGCTATCAAGCACTGTTAATTCCTCCATCAGTTCTTGGCTCAGAGACTGAAACAATCAAGACCACATAGATATTCCACCAATCACTTCTATTAAAAGGAAGGAAAAGTAACAGACATGAGTTCACTTTCTTCCTATACAAAAGAAGTCTGAAGTAATATATCATGATGTAACATATTCACAAAAGGGATTACAGATTTATTGGATTTATTTTGGCAAAAGACATAATCACTACAAGGGAGTACCTCAGCTAGATGTTCCTCAGGCTTATGTAACCTTACCCTGTTCTTAGAAGGGAAATTTTACCAGCTAGACCTTCTCTGAGCCATTAAGTGCATCAAACAAGGTTTGAGTTTGGAATAGGCCTGCTAGTTAATTATCAAAAGGTTTCAAACACTACTGTCTATAGAAATAATCAGTGGGTTGGTGGGATGCTGTGAATCAGAAGCATTCCTTGAGCAGCCAAAGTCATAAATGCCTACAGGCACTATTCTCCCCTCTAGTTCTTGTTCCTGTAATTTGTAGAATATGCCACTCAAGAAGGAATCCCCCAAAATTCTGAATTTGAACCATAAATTTGACAGTCATGGAAAAAAGGAATCCTCTATAGATGGATTATGTCCATCTGGAATTAGAAGTGATCAGGGAGCTGGACAGATTTGATCACCATATCAAATCCTTTTGGGGAGCTCAAAACAGAGCAAGTGAAAAGCACCAAAAAGTTCTAAGAAGAATATTAAATACCACCTGAAGTTCACTGTAATCAAAGGTAATGTGAGTCTCATTGGAGACAAGGAATTCTAAGTTCATATATAAGCTGAAGGGATCAAAAAAGATTTGGAATTATGGTATAAACTGCTAGTGCAACTGCTTTGAAAAAAAATTTCATCCAGGGGACATTTAGGACATCAGTAAGAAACCCCGAAACTTCTAATTGTAATGCCTTCCTTAAAATTTTTTGATGGGATCACACCTTAAATGCTATGTACATGCTGATGATGTTCCTGAAAAAAGAAATTGAGCACCAATAACCTGCCAGCTTAGTTCTGTGACTCTTCTTATACTTTTCCACTCTGTGTCCCCTTTCAGCAACAAAACTGTTTTTCCAATAGCAACAGTTTTTTGTGTGAAGTCTAAGCTGAGATATATAACCATTGTTTTTTCAACTGAAATGTCAAGTCTAACTGCTTGGAATGTGGATTTTTTTTAATCTTTAAAATGTGTCTGATTGTTTTGCTGTTTACAGAATCCTACACTTCAATCCTATGCATGTTTGTTCAGAAGGAAGTCCTGTTACATTTAGTGAGACTTGCACTGTATTCAGTTTGTTTCAGGCTGCAATCTTCATGTTACATTAGCAGAGAGAAAGATCATTCTCTCCTTCCTAAAAACCTTTCCTGTATTGTCTTTATAAAATCTTTTTTTTTTTCTGTTCTAAATAGTATTTGATTGTTTGGTTCACTAAGTGTCCCGTGTCAAAGCAGGAACTTGTCTGAAGAGTGCGTACATCCCGTTCTCAACAAACTAAAATAACAAATGTGTTAACAAGGGTATAAAGGTACAGTGTTGTTCCTCAAACAGAGCCCGTATAAAATCCAGGAAAGTAAATGGAATCAAAGTGTCCATATGGGATATCTTCTCAGTCTACTTTTGAGCTGGGAGATTGGAACAGAGAGAAGGAGGTAACATCACCCCTGTTTAATGTTGCGGTAACAAGCAGGCATGAGCTTCAGGCTCTTGTACTGCTATCCATTGTGAATGGAGGAAAATTAAAACTGCTGATTGCTTTTTGAACAAGCCACAGTTTCCTTTTGCATCCAAATAAGTAATACTAGCTTTTTTCCATGCCGCAGTTCAGATACCCTCATAATTGAATTAACCCTAGATGCAGAAATTGCTGTTATTCAGATATAGATATTGTAGGAGAAGAGCCATGTTAGTTTATGGTGGCAAAACATCCAGAGGAATCTGGTAACATCTTTTCCAACTAATAAATGTTATTAAAAGGCAGAAACTTCATCAGATGCATAGAGTGGCTGTACTGATGTAGGTACATATGTAGATGAAAACTTAAGACTTTTAATAACATTTGTTAGTCAGAAAAGGTGCTACCAGACTCCTCCTGATATAATAAGTGAACTGTGGTCTGTTCAAAACCCCTGGAAGAATGAAGGAAGAAGAGGTCAAACTGAAGGCTCACTGCAGGATTAGTTTTGATAGTTGTGATGCTGTAGCTAAGTTACTGTCTGAAGAAAATCATCTTCCTTGTAGCCATGTTTGTGCCTGGCAGTTCTTGAATTTGAAAATTGTCAGCTGCAAATGTAGACTTTCAAATAACTCCATAGAAGTTATTAGCCCAATCTATATATATTCCCTAGCAAGCTGGTTGGGGAATTCTGGGAGTTGAAGTCCACACTTTTAAAGTTGCCAAAGTTGAGAAACATTGCCCTATATGATTAAATTGGTTGAAAATATTGCAAATATTTTTAGACAGCATCCCTGTTGTGTTGATTAGAGGCAATTCTTATTAAGCTGGTTACTTGCATAGACTCTTACCTGATTTTTTTTTTTAATCATTTATGGCATTAGTGCATATGAATTAGATTTTATTTAAAATTCTTCAGCAGTTGTTTGGGCATTATCAGCGCCTGGCCCATCCTTTAATAGAATATTTGAATGTAATCCAAAGATACTGTCCAAGTTGTTCCATGTTTTTGTACTTTTCTGTAGCTTGTTATGAATTAATTTAATCCAGGCCCTCTGATTGTTGGAGTCATATAATGCTCTTCACCTTTTGGTAAACAGAGTTAAGTAAGCAGAAAAGTTATAACACCCTTGCTTTGATTAAGTGTAGATTTTGAATTAATTTAGTTTGAATTCCTGTATTTTGGCATTAGTTGGCTTTTCCAAAGAATTCTATTGCTAATATTGGAAATGGGTTAATGCTAATGATTTGGGTGATCCAAGGCAGGTCAAACACTACTGGTATAATTCATTCTCTTGTTTTGATGGGAAGATGGCTATGGAAGGGAGGATAAGAGGGAAAAAAACTCTTAAATGTGGTAAAAGAATATTTAGTTGGCCATGTGTTTCAAATTCATATTAAAGATGTATCCTGGTTCTGGAAAAAAAAATACTGTATGTACTAGGATGAAACTGAAAGATTTAAATACCTTCACTGAGTTATCCCATAGTGACGTTGGGGCAGTTTGGAAAGTCACTTTAAGAATAACCAGAAGTTCTACATTTTTCCTTTTCCATAAAAATACAGTGATTTGTGTCAAAGATCAGTATTTTGTCTCATCTTATTTTCAAGTCACAGGCAAAATGAATTAAAAAAAGTTTGATTTGCTTCTTTACGCAAGTTGATGGTCTTCTGCTAGATGTCAGAAAATATTCACATGTTCCTCGAGCATTACGTTTTCATAGCAGACTTCTCTGCAACCTTCAGGGTTATGAACTCACCAGTAATTCAGTATTTTTACCCACATAGTGGTGTGATTAATATTTGTATCGCATATTAGTTCAGAACAAAATAAGGGCAAATCCATATAATTCATAATAATTTTCACTGACTTTTGACCACCTTTTTGCCCTGTCTTTAAGCCTAAACTATTTACTGTCTGCAATTTGGCATAGGACAAATAGCCTAATTTACCTGGAATGACATGTTGGGAGAAAACACATGAAATTCTTTGTGCACTTAAACGAAAGCATTACATAAAAGTCAAGTGGCCTTCCTTTTTAATGCCCATTTTGTAGACTTAAAGTAAAAATGGAAATGAGCATTGTTCGTAATAATAGTGGAAGTAGAATTGGTCTGCTGAATTTGGCTATAAAAGCATGAGAGCATTGTATGAAAGATGCAGCAAACTGGTATCCACCAGATGGATTGGACCTCACCTGCCCTAATCTCCTGTTTGGACCACGTTGCCTGGCAGTATGGTCGCTGAAGTCCTTACAGCAGGAGTGCAACTGGTTGGGAAAAGTTGTCTGTCTTCCCCTGTGATTTACCAAATGCCTCTGACAAGCATAATTGGAAACGACACTCTTTCCTTGAGTTCCCCAGTAAATGCTATTTGAAGGAATACTGTTACCATTTATCTAGAGATGCCTTTGTGATTGAATGGGCAAACACACTGATTAAATAAATAAGTAAACAAGCAAATCATGGTTAGAAGTTTAATTTTGTTTGTCCAAAATTAAACTAGGAAGGTTTTGTTCCATCCATTTCATTGGCTGCTTCCCAATTCTATCAATATAGTTTTAGGGGGAGGGGGGTGTCCCCATATCTTCAATTTTTTTTTAATTTTTTTTTTTTGGTAGTTCCACTGAATTTTGTGCACAAACTCCTTTCCTCCTTAATATAAATTCTCAAATCTCAAAAATGTTGGAGAGGTGTTAGCATATGGGAAATATTCCAGAACCCCTTTCTCAGTCTCTCACAACTTGAAAAATGTAGGAAAAAGATAGAAAATCCAAAACAACTGAAGAAGACAACTATAATACTTTTATTTCTGCTTGCCAAGTAGTTTTTGAATCCTGCATCTCGGATGCTTTCCAAAACCAATGTAAAAATTGGCTGTTGTGGCACAAAATGTGGTCTTTGAGAGAATTTAATTTTTTTTTTTTATGTATGACTCGGTACATGGCAGCACTTCACTGTCTTGACTCAGGGCTAAGAAGCTAAGCAGGGTCAACCCTGGTAGTACTTGGATGGGAGACTACCATCTCTCAAGACTGTAGGCATAATTGGGAAGTAGGAAAAACCCCTATACAAAGTCAGAAGGCAATGGCAAACCACTTTCACATTGTTGGCAAGAAAACTACATGTGCCTAGAAAGTCAAAAGGGGTTGAGTTTGACTTAAAGGACACCTTACATTTTGTTTTGGTCTTTTTTCCTCCTAACTACTTTTTTTCCCTTAGTATAAAGTGCTGCTAAATGTGGAAGCTGCTGGTGACTTTTCATCATTAACTTGCAGAAATGAAAGACAATGCGAAACATATGAATTCTTTATTGCAGGAAATTAAAAAATTCATCCAAAGCATGTCTGAAAAGATCAAGAAAACCAGAGACAAGTATGGCATTAATGACAATGGCACAACAGAGGTAATCTGAATAATAGGTGATTTCTAATGGCATATAGTTTGGGGGAATGGAAAGGGGGACTGCCTCTGCATGACTCTTTCTTCCATATATATTGAGGAAGCCATTGTGGTGTAGAGGTTAAGGTGTTGGACTAGCAGCAGGGAGACCCAGGTCCAAGTCCACCTGCTGCCATGGAAGCTCACTGGGTGACCTTGGGCCAGTCCTGTCTCAGCACAGCTACTTTGCAAGATTCTTCTTGTGGGGATAACATGAGAGGAGGAGGAAACGCTATGTACACTGCCTTGAGCTTTTGAATGCAAGGCAGGATAGACTTCCAACAAAATATATTAAGAGTCCCTGACTCTGTCCTTTTCACACTGTTGATGGATTTTCTGTACCTGCAGCAATCTGCTCTGCAGTGGCCTCCTGAAACAGATCAATTTTAAAACGGAATATGTTTGAAAATGTTAAGAACGTTGTATAGAATCTCATATTTAGCCTTCCAGTTGTACTTACCATGAAACAGTTGCAACTTGAATAAATTCATATACTTTTGCTCCTGAATTTCTCTCTTCATCTTAAATTCTCTGTATGTACACAATGTACGTATGTGCCCTTCAGGGGTTCAACATGAAGAGAGCTGGAGGAAATGAAAAACCTCTAGTGCTTGTATATGAATGCAAATATTTTAAAGAGGCAATTCTTAACATTTTTCCAGAAGGTAAAAAACTGTAATTTTGCAAAGGAAAATAGGTTGAACCATTGATCTTCCAAGAACAGCAAGTACCATAAAATAGGGACTGTGTCTGAAAAATAGAGGGAAATTTAGTAAAGGCAGAGAATTTGCTTAGGATATTTTCAGAGCTGACTTCCCCAATTTTCTGACCTCTACATATGTGGAATTTAGGGTTAGGGTTACAGCTGGATTCAGGAAGGCTCTTCTGGATCTTCAGGAGATCCAAGTTCAGGTGCCACAGAAACCTGCATTTACTTTACAATCATAACCTAACTGTCTTAATGTTTTAAAGCTGTTTCTGCAGCTACAAAATAACTGGGAAAGACAGTATGTCTGAAGCTGGGGCCTTAAGATTCAGTGTAGTTCATTCCCATAGCAGGAAACTATGGTTTTTCCAGGTCATAGTTTGACACCATCATATTTATGAAGAGTAGAAGCAAAGCAAGGAGATAAATGTTTGGTGCCCCTTTGAGCCATATGTTAGAAACACAAAACCAATTGTTGACTACTCTATTGAATATACTTCTAATCATTCTGGGTATTCATCACTTTAGCCATATGTTTTATACCAATTGGACCGAATCACTCCAACCCAGCTGGAAAAGTTTCTGGAGATCTGTAGGGAGAAGTATATGAGGTATGAAAAATTATTGTTTCCTGATTCTTTTCCTGATGTGTGAGATGCTAAGTTTGTCCTAAAGAGGATCGTACTAGTCCTGGGGCTATTACTGCTCTGTGATTTGGTTTGGTTTGGTTTGGTTTGGTTTGGTTTGGTTTGGTTTGGTTTGGTTTGGTTTGGTTCAGAGAAGGTCCATCTTTCTTTAGAGTAGTTTCATTGGGATTTAATGGAAGGTGACAGCTATCATCTGATCTTCTGTTTTCCTGATTGCATAAGGTCTCTTGCTAAAGATACTGTTGATATTCTGGGTCACTAGCTTCCCTCTGTTACATAGGTTAGTTAAGAAATGGTGTTTGAGACTGACTTCATTGACTGAGATCATTTAGCCTTTGCATAATAAACAGCGATTGCTGATGAGTATTGTATACATATGAGAAATTTGCATTAAGCCTGACCCAGACTCCTTGATAGGAGCACTGAGTCTTGTCCCCTTTTTATGCACATAAGCAAGGGTGTGTAGTGTTGACTTATTTGAACAAAAAAGTTAAAATATAAAAGTAATGACTTTAATTCAGTGATACCAATACAGCACAGAGATGGGAAACTTGACTCTGAGCCATATCGGAGTCCTCTGTGCAATGGTGTTGTTTGTGAAATCAAGTGAGCACATGAAGGACACACATTAAATATGTGGGAATTCCTTTTCTTGACAATCTCAGCTTTTATTTGGGGGGGGGTGATTCTGTCCTGTGTATGTCCATATAAAAATGTATTGTCAAAGTCTGTGAATTCTCTAAATAAAAATAATCTGGAGAAGTATACACCATGGTTGTGAGGCAGAACTTCTAGATTCCATGCAGCTGATTATTCCACATTATAGGAAGCATAAAAATGATTTAAGAGAACAGGTTATGGGTTACACCATGAGGAATGGGAAACTACAAATGTATCTTGTAAAATTACATAGGCTGCTGAATTAAGCTGCTTTGGGTGCCTAGTTTTGATTTCTTTCCCCAAAGATTCATAACCTTGTCTACATTTAATTGAACCTCAGGCAAATAATGTGTCTTGAATGCCACACTGAGAATTTTCATTTAATACAGAGAATGTGAATCTGGGTCCTTAGAGAACTCGGGTGTGTTTTCAATGCAGCCATGAACTATCAAGGGGACTGATAGCTGAGAAATGACTGAAAACGAATGTTACTTTGATCTTACAACTTAGGGCACAGATGGAGCCTGGGTCTGCAGTGGGAGCCCTTTGTGCTCAAAGCATTGGTGAGCCTGGCACACAGATGACTCTGAAGACTTTCCATTTTGCTGGTGTAGCCTCAATGAACATTACCTTAGGAGTGCCAAGGATCAAAGAAATTATCAATGCTTCTAAAACAATCAGGTACATTAACTCAGAAGTGGTCAGAAGTTAGTTCTGGATGATTGGCAATGGGTGTCTCACTTCCAATTTTTGCCTTTAAAAAAAAGAATAAAATTTACAGTAATTAGAGTCGAATTTTATGGAGACCACTTTGAGATTTTTAGTGGGAAGTGGTATACAAATATACCATTTATTTAAATGACTGAATAAAAATGTGGAAGAAACATGAATTCAATTGGGTGCTTCAAAAAATGCCTAGGCTCCAAATATTTTAACAAATGTCTTTTGCACCAAGCTTCAGGTAATTTAGTAAGAAACAAAATAAATGTTATTAACCATCAACTAGATTTGATTATTACTCACATCTATGAAGGATAAACTTCATATGTTTCATATGCATGGTCAGTAGTGCCTTTCTCAGTTAGCCTGCTAATACCTTGGCTGTCAGTTAAAGGTGATTTAGTCTCCTCTTGAATTACTTGTAGAGATGATAACAAACCAGGTTTTGATAGAAATGCAAAAAGTCCCAGTGTACTGTTTACCCCTCCAGCCTAACTCTGGAAGATGAAAGGAAATACTTGATTGAATTATAATGATTAGTTCCAAGCTTCACTAGTGGTTGTCCCAAAAAGATAAAAAAAATTGGTTTGCAAGAACAAACTTCTATTTCATTACTCTTTTCTGAACAATCCTTGTATTAAAGATGATAAGCTCCTATCTATTAATAAAGGTAGTAATCCTAGACAAATTTTTGAATTTAGTGGGATTGCATGTATATGATTATAGTACACTATAAAGCATGTAGGTACATTCCTTATAGTGCTATATAATTTATCTTTCTGTTTGCTCACTTCTCACATTTGACCTAGTTTGGAAGGCTATGACATCAGTAGAAGAGAATATGTGTAGCTCAGGGTTGAACTTGAGGTTCTCTGAGTTTGGTTGTTTTCTTGCAAACATTTTGTTACCCGGCTAGGTAACGTCTTCAGTGCTAGAATGGAATGGGGCTTGCTGTCTGTTTATATACTGTGGCATGCCCTGCCAGTGCTGGTGGGGGTGGGGGTGGGGGTTTTGTTTTGTTTTATTTTTTTCCTCTGGTAGTTCCTTGATTAGGGTATTGTTTACTGCTTGATTGTATGTCTGGTGGTTAATCTCTGCTTATCTGGGTGATGATTGCTGATGAGGAGATGTTCTGGTCTTCTGTTTCCTTTCTATTGTCTCTTTTGAATAGTGTGTAGATGCTGTTTATCTCTATGTGTCTGTTGATGGCTGCCTTGTCTGACTCCACAGGCTATGACATAATACTAAAATGGAGCAACCTTCAAGCTGTTGCAGTATTTTCTGCCCGTCTTTTATGCTAGTTCATGCCAATTTCAAATGAGGCTGAAAAGAATCACTAATTTTAAAAACTCAGTGATGGGTTGGTCTTAGAGGATACTTGCCAAAAGTTGTCATTTTTAGTACTGTGCTAGGTGATAGTGGAGCATCTAATTAAAGTTACATATAATTTTTATATAACATTAATATTTGAATATGTGAAGGGCATATATTGTTTTGTATTTGTGCTGTGTGAATTATAAAACATCTGCTTATAACTATATTAGAAAAAAAAAACTAAGTCAGTTTTTCAGTTATGCTTTTCTTGCTTATATGTAGCACCCCAATTATCACAGCACATCTTGACATAGATGATGATCCCGATTTTGCCCGTTTGGTCAAAGGAAGAATAGAGAAGACACTTTTGGGAGAGGTACAATGTGTTCCTTAACGGATAATATTTCAATTTATGTACTATGCTGTTGGGTAATGAATATTCAAAAATAAACTGGGACTTTTTTTTTTTGACTTGCAGATTTCAGAGTACATTGAGGAAGTTTTCCTTCCTGATGATTGTTTTATTCTTGTCAAGCTTTCTTTAGAGCGAATTAGGCTGCTGAGGCTGGAAGTGAGTATTTGCTTGAAGGAGTAGCCTGTAACTTAGTATAAGATGAGGTTCTGAAGATTATTGTATTTCAGGAAGATGAATATGCCTTTTGTGTCCTTTTCCATTGTTCCAGTTGCATGTTTTTGCTCAGTAAGAAACATGCAGCTACAAATACCTGTAAATTTTCAGTAGCGGATTCATGATTCATGCCAAGAACCATCCTGTATATTATTGCAGAAAAAGAAGGTAGGATTTCTGAATTCTACTTCAGGATACAAATATGCATGAATCAATGTTTCACCCTTTCTCCCCCAAAGAATCTCAAATCAGCCTACTGCCTTCATCCCTTTTATCTTCCCCAAAATGATTGGCCAAGGATGATCTTGGAATGTCACGGCACTGAGTGAATTTAAACTTGGGGGTTGTAAATCAGTTATCTGCTGATAACTACCTGATTTATAATATTATAATTTATAATTTGCTAACACTGTAAGCACTTACAGTGTTAGCAAATTATAAATTATAATATTATAAATCAGGCAGAATCCACATATGTAATAGAATCCTAAAACATTAAATTGGATGGTATCTTCCCATATGCTTGACTTGAAGGATCAAATGGGATTTTGATAATTGGTGCTTTAGATGTTAAACTGGAAATGTAAGAAGCTGTCAGGTTCTCATGCCTGACATTTCTTTCAGTCCTTGTTGATACAAAGTCTTAGTAGCTGTACACCTCACCTGGCACGTAACTGAGTATTTCTAAGATTCTAGGTTCAAAGCATATATTCCATAGCTGAATAGAATGATGCTTTGTGTTGGTGTCAAGTCATCCCATCATAAGCATTTGGCCAAACTAGTATTTAGAGCATCTTGTCTAATAGCAATTATATGCTTGTAGAACTGAACCTGATGCCAAAAAATGATGCGGATAATAAAATGACATTTCCCCACACAGGTTAATGCAGAGACTGTGAGATATTCTATTTGCATCTCAAAGCTCAGAGTGAAGCCTGGGGACGTGGTTGTCCATGGTGAAGCGATTGTCTGTGTTACTCCCCGAGAGAATAGCAAGAGCTCAATGTATTATGTGTTGCAATCCCTGAAAGAAGAACTACCAAAGGTGAGGATTCTGGACTTTGTTGTCATCGAACTGTTCAAGTTCTTTCTGAAAAGGATAGTCTTCAAAGTCTTCTGAACAGGAAAAGAATTCTTAAGAGTCTATTGCTGCCGCTGCCGCTATTATTATTATTGTTATTGTTACTATTATTATTTCTTCCTGTTTGCTTGCCTTGTTTTGGTATACATTTTTCCCCAGAAGATCTTGCAGTTCAAGACATTTCCTTACTATACTTACAAAGATAGATCTTCTTGTTCTTACACTTGCAGGGTTTTTATGTCGATCATGTTGATCTATTCAGCTTGAATGTGTTAAACTTTCTCCTTTTTTTCTGAGGCAGGCGTTTCCAAGTTTCTTCAACTTTTCTTCTTGTTGCTAAGTGTGACAACACTTTCTTATAATCCAGATAGAATCATTCAGTTCAGTGAGATTTAATGTTTAAAGCCAATTGAACTTTCACTGATTTCAGTGGGTCTACCCAAAGGCCAACTAGGTCTGGCTCCTTCCTTGGAAAGGGAAGCTTTTGACACTGGTTAGCTGGGTAGTGATGATGTCTCAAACTGAGCAACAGGAAGACTCTCAGAACTGAATTTTCTGGGGAGAAGGGGAAAGCAGCTGACTAACAAACAGGGATTTCATAGGATGGGTAGATAGCATGAAAGGGAGAAGGAAATACAGGATACTGGGGAAGATAGGCAGAGGAAAAGCAAGTCAAGAAAAGAGGTGGGGGCATTGGAATGGAGAAGCTGAGAGAAGAAACCATAAACCAGAAGGAGGAGCATGGAGGGAGGTTGCTTATCCCTCCAGGAACTTTATTGAAAGTGCCCTGTCATTTCATAGCCCATTTTCTGTGAAAGCCAAATGAAGTTCCTTCCCAACAAATAAGTGAAATCAGTGAGGACTAACATGAAGTATAAATTTAATTTCTTACCCCATCCCAAAGATTCCAGGCCAATAGCAAATGATGAAAGAATGGTCTAATAAAGACTGAAAACAGTATAACTATCATAAAATGTCATAAATTAGAACAGAATAAAGGCAAGAAAAACTGTTCTAAAATGCCTGGACAATAAAATTTTATTAGCCTGGTGTGAAAAAGATTGTAAAGTTGGTACAAGCTGAACTTTCTTAAAACAGTGGTTGCAACCTGGAGGTGTTCTTGGTCCTTCTCAAAGACAGCCCCAACTTTATAGTCATTCAGGCCAGGGTTTACCAAATCATGGATCATTATAGCTCCATTGGAACATCATACACTCTGCCCTGATTAAAAAGCAAATTTTGATAATGCAGAATGTATTTATTTGCAAAATTTATAAAGCGTCTCACTCCAACAATATCATATTTAAATAATCATAAACAATAATAAATGGTAACGGTGTGATTTTCCCCCAGCTGCTTAATCACCAAAGAAATGAGATTCCTAACTTTCTGAGACTCTTATTCATTCATATTCTGCCCATTTTTCTTCAAGGAGATCATTCAAATGAATTCTTGCTAACAGTTTAAAAAAGCAAAGGAGGCTTTTAGTTATATTTTTATACTTTTGCCTTATTTTTCCTGAGAAAAATCAAATGTTTCTGCTTCTGTTTCCCTTTCACATCTCTAGGTAGTAGTACAAGGTATCCCAGAAGTATCTCGTGCTGTCATTCATATTGATGAACAGAGTGGGAAGGAAAGATATAAATTGTTGGTAGAAGGTGACAACTTGAGAGCTGTCATGGCCACTCATGGGGTTAAAGGAACAAGAACGACATCAAACAACACTTATGAGGTAACCATCCAGAGACGATAAATTGGTGCACCGTAGCAATTAAGAGAGGGTTTCTAGGCATGTGACATTATTCCTTGGTTCAGATCTTAACTCTGCCATGAAGTACCAAAGTAAGGCCTTCATTCAAGCTTGGTGTCTTGTCTGCAATATAGGGCTAATACATATTTTGTAGGGTCTTTGCAAGGATTATAGTAAGATAGTACAGTGAAAGACTCTGAACATAATGCTGGAGGTAAGCAAGACTTCAGTTTTTTGTATGAAGGCATAACCAGTTCAGATGTAAGCCATGGAAATGTGTAAGGAAGTAGGTAGAATGGGGTTGGAGAATAAAGTAAATAGAATAAGCATTTTGCCATTTCATTAAGGCAGCATAACTTAATCTTCCAGGTTGAGAAAACTTTGGGCATTGAGGCTGCACGAACTACCATTATCAGTGAAATTCAGTATACTATGGTAAACCATGGAATGAGTATTGATCGGAGACATGTCATGTTGTTGTCAGACCTGATGACATACAAGGTTTGTTTGTTTTTTTCCCCCCATTATTGTATAGAATTACTCATTCTTTCATCTCTCTCTCCCCCCAAAAAATATGGATGAAAAAAATACTAAGAAAAGTTTAACAATAATATCAGCATGAGCATGGATTTGGGCAGGGGCTGGTCTCCTTTATATTTGTATTAGTGTCCATTCAGAAATTAAGAAGGCCAGTTCTGGTTAGTACTTAGGTGAGAAATCAGAGGGAATACTACAACTAGTATTCCTAGGATTGTAGACTAGATGGGGAACTTGAAAAAGAAGGCCCCAGAAGAAGGCAATGGCAAATTACTTCTGTACTGCTGTCAAGAAAACCACATGGATGAGTCCAGATACAGTGGGGCAAAAAAGTATTTAGTCAGCCACCAATTGTGCAAGTTCTCCCATTTCCATCATAGATATACCTCAGCTATGAGAGACAAAATGAGAAAAAAAATCCAGAAAATCACATTGTCTGATTTTTAAAGAATTTATTTGCAAAAAAATCAGACAATGTGATTTTCTGGATTTTTTTTCTCATTTTGTCTCTCATAGCTGAGGTATATCTATGATGGAAAAAAATCAGACAATGTGATTTTCTGGATTTTTTTTCTCATTTTGTCTCTCATAGCTGAGGTATATCTATGATGGAAAAAAATCAGACAATGTGATTTTCTGGATTTTTTTTCTCATTTTGTCTCTCATAGCTGAGGTATATCTATGATGGAAAAAAATCAGACAATGTGATTTTCTGGATTTTTTTTCTCATTTTGTCTCTCATAGCTGAGGTATATCTATGATGGAAAAAAATCAGACAATGTGATTTTCTGGATTTTTTTTCTCATTTTGTCTCTCATAGCTGAGGTATATCTATGATGGAAAAAAATCAGACAATGTGATTTTCTGGATTTTTTTTCTCATTTTGTCTCTCATAGCTGAGGTATATCTATGATGGAAAAAAATCAGACAATGTGATTTTCTGGATTTTTTTTCTCATTTTGTCTCTCATAGCTGAGGTATATCTATGATGGAAAAAAATCAGACAATGTGATTTTCTGGATTTTTTTTCTCATTTTGTCTCTCATAGCTGAGGTATATCTATGATGGAAAAAAATCAGACAATGTGATTTTCTGGATTTTTTTTCTCATTTTGTCTCTCATAGCTGAGGTATATCTATGATGGAAAAAAATCAGACAATGTGATTTTCTGGATTTTTTTTCTCATTTTGTCTCTCATAGCTGAGGTATATCTATGATGGAAACTTTTTAAGTGGGAGAACCTGCACAATTGGTGGCTGACTAAATACTTTTTTGCCCCACTGTAGTCACCAAAAGTGAGCTTGTATTGAAGGAGACTTTACCTTGAAGAATCAGTGTCCCAAAAGGAAAGCTGGTTACTGCACTCTCACACCTAAATTAAGACAAAAAGAAAAAGAAAAGTCATAGCAAGCAAAAATAGAATTCCTCTTTGGTTCATGTGCTAGTAATGAACTCTTATTCAAACAGCCCACTGACTATATCCAAAGCTTGTCTGTATATTTGAAATGAATGAGGATAATCTCACATTCTTATAAGTTTCCTGCTCAGCTTTTGAAATCACTTCGTGGTCCCTTCTGCAGGGAAGGCAACATGGCTTTGTGCAGAAGGACAGAAGAGTAACTACCAGCAGTTAAATTCTCTTTCAATATAACACAGAGGGGGGAAAACATTCTCCCCAAAGAGGAAGGATCTCAGTCCCTTTCCACCAGCCATCAATATGCCTTTTGTTGTACATCGGTCTCTTCCCTGCTGTTCTTTTCTCTTCTTTTTTTCCTCCATTCTTCTTATGCCTACCATTTCTAGTTAGGGCACTCAGGAAGGTTCTGTACCCAGCTCCTGTCCTCCTTCTTACAGTAACCAATCTACAAAGATCACACAATTGTTTTCTTTTTATCCATGTTTGAGAGTAGAGCAGTTGTTCCTTTGCACACCTGGTGGAGTTGCATTCCAAGTGGATTTGGTAGTTGAGTTGCTTCCACAGTAGGTAATCTTATATGGTGAGATTGCCCAAAGGGATGAAGAAGTTTTCTAGGCCACCTAGGAACAATTTAACGGATTTCTAAATATGATTTAGATGAAATGGCATGAAAGATTTCTGTTATTTTTGTTTGGGGATTAGTATCATTGGTAGAGAATTTATAAGTCTTTGCCCTGTGTCCACTAGTTTGATGGCCCTCCCCATAGTGGCCCCCAGCCACCAGGTAGTTCTAAGTATCTACCAAATAATCATTCCCAAAGTTAACTCTATCTTCTAGAGATCAGGGAATTATTCTTACTCAGCCACATCTCTCACCCCAGGCCTGTCTGGAGAAGCTATGGCAGAAACTCTTATATATTCAATTTTGTCATGTCTTTGCACTGCTCTTTAGAGCAGATATTCAGACAACCTCTTTTACAACTCATGTGATGGATAAGCTATCCAGATCCAAGTTTGCCAAAGACTGCGATAAACTAATAACCTGCTATAACTGCTAGCAGAATCTAGCTGAAACTAAAGCAGGGACAGCCCCATTTTGTACTTAGGTGGAAATCCAGGCTGTAGGCTAGATTCAGAAGTTGAAAAAACATCCTAGAAAATCACTTTTGTAAGCAAACTGCTACCAATTGACTTAACAAG